GTTGCAAGGATGACCAAGGCATATGAAGCTAAGGAAAAATGCCTCTCAAATACTAAGGTTAACAATTACTATGATTTTGGTTGCTGTTCCACTCAATAATTTTTCCCCCTACTCCTTTTCTTACCAGCTGCCACCACAGGAAAAACACAACCTTTTAGGAATCAAATTCCCCCAAACCTTAGAAGCAGAATAAATTACACACAACACGTGTATTTTTTACCTGGTTGCTTAATTTATTCTGAAGCAGGAAACGTGATACATTTGTTATCCAGTGACACAGTGATCAATGCAGAAAAGCTTCATAATTATCCATGTACTCATTTGATCAGGGAAATGCAGCACTGTGGTGCCTAATTTGCACTTTTTATTAATTTGGACACTCCCAGGCTTCCTATGACTGCCAGGCTGAAGCCAGAAGGGCAAGAGGGACAGCAGGTGATTGCGACTTTCCTATCCTCCAGGCTGCTGTATTCCCATGAGATAGGTTTTAGAGTCCCTCTAGCAAGTTACAAGAGAAAGGGAGGCTGGAAAGGGCTCTGGATAATTCATATCCCAGCCTCTCAAGTCTCCTCCCCTTCCCACCCACAGGAACACCCCTTTTTCCAGAGGCTCCAAGGTCGCTTTCCTAGCTTCAAAGAGGAAGCTGAGTTGGTTCTCTCCAGGTCAACTCCAAGGGAGAGTAGTCTTGGGTCAGATCTCCAATGCTCTCTTTTGAGATCAGGGACTGCAGGATTGGTTTAGCTGAAACCTCCTGAGACTAGGACAATCTGTGTGAAGGTTCCCAAGGGCCTCTTTACACATGGCATTTTCTAGATATACACTTTTAGGTGTAAACTGAAAAATGTAACGTGCGAATGAGACAAAAAAAAATTGTATTCCACAGGGGACCCAGATTCAGCTGTAGGTACCAGCTGAATTACCCTCAGTAGGAAATCCAGGTCTACTGCTTCACTGTGTAATAGGTCTAACAGCTAACAAATAACCCTGAGTCAAGTATTTCCCAGTTAGTATTTCCCAGCTAGTCATGTGATTTCCTGCAAAGAATATTGAAGTGAGACATATATTCTTCAGGGTTAAGAATCACATCAAAGGACAAAAGGAAATACTTTTTCACCCAGCACATAGTTAAACTATGGGATTCATTTGTACTACTCAGTTGGCTTTAAAAGGAGATTAGCTCAAATTCATGGAGGATAAGACTGTATAGTTGTGATGGGTATATATAATCCCCAGGCCCAGAGACAGTGTGCCTCTCCATACCAGTTGGAAGACGTGTGACATGGTGCTGCGACACACATGTCCTGCTGGTGGGCTTGCCATGGGCATGTGTAAAGAGGATGCTGGACCTGGCAGGCCTCTGCTCTACTGCCCTCTTCTTCTGTTAAACTCTGCCTGTTGTTTTTAAGGGACAGAAAGCAAACATAATTTATCTGCCTAATCTCTAAAGATGATTTCAGGTCCTAGATTTAAATTAGCGCCCATCCAGCTGACAGCATGGTCCTGGCTGATTCATCCCAGTGGGCTTCTTGCTGTATTGTTTACGTAAAGAACCATATGATTCAACAACATTGATTTCCTCCTCTTTTAGGAGTACAGGCCGACAGTATGCAGTTTGTGGGTGGGAGAGAGGGTGATTCAGGGATTCAGTAGCAAGGAAATGACAGAGCAGGACTAGTCCCAATTCCACTCAAGATTATGGGGGGAGGATTGTAGTTTGGAGGCAGAACTACACTAGATTAAAATAATAGTCTGACCTCTATAAAGCATTTCCCTATGCTCCCTTCTTAAAACCACTGAAACCAAGTTCAGTTCATCTTCTAGGAACACTGATTTGTTTCTCTGATTTTGACATTATTCAAGTTTAACCAAGAGCTAATTCACACACACATGCATATTGCATTGTTTTTCTAAACTAACATTAATTTATAAGTGTTAATTGCTGATATTAAAATGCAATGACCACCCAGAGAGCATGTTGCTAACCGGAAGCTTTAAACAAATTTAATAAATAAATACGTAACTACTTAATTATCACAGACATGGGCCCGGTTGGCATGTGCATGTCCATTTCTTGACACCTGCAAGTGACAGGAATGAACTGCATGTGGGAACCGACCATCAGAGATGTTGCTTTGTGCCTCAAACACAAATGTTTTTCAATGCAGCTGACTCACATTTCCAACCACCAGTCGTCACAATTACTCTCATCAAGGGCAGAGAAATGAATCAAGCAATATTCATTCCTGTGTAAATCCGGCCTGAGTGATGGGCAGCGGGATGTCTGAACTGGCTCCACTTCATCTGAGGACAACGTGGCCAACAAACGATGAACAAGCCTGAAGGAGAAGGTGCCTGCTTCCCCCAGTGCCATGTACAGAAACCAAGAGGACTGGCAGCTGACACTTTCTTCAACCTCGCTGCAGGACAGGAGGGCAGATTACATGGTACAGGGCAGACAGCTCTTTCTTTAATGCCACTCATGCCCTCCCCCTCCAGCATCTGCCACAGGAGACAGCTGCCTCATCCTACTCAACAGTAGGACTGGCCTTATGCTTAGCTGAACACTAAGGATGGAGTAAGTACAGCATCCCTGAAAGCACTTGACAAATACAAAGTCCAAGTTAAACCGTTAGGTTCCAGAAGTGCAGTAAGAAATGCTAAGGACAAAGGAGAACTGGGTCTTTCAGATGTCTGCTTTCATATGCCCACACCACTGTGCTTACATATGAGGGAAACGCAGGGAAATCCACACACTTCACCCTGCCTCCCTCCCCCATTTCAGCCAGATCATGGCCCTCTTGCAGTAGCCTGGGAGGAGGGAGGGAGTGTGACACAAAAAGCCAGGTATCGTAATTCAAGCAATGACTCCCCCCACCCCAACCATAACATCAAATAGCCAGCATGGTGTGATGGGTCCCCCACCTACAGCCATGATGCTCATGGGGTGACTTAGTGCCAGTTACTCTCTCTCAGCCTAACCTCTACCTCACAGGGCTGTTGTGAGCATGAAAAAAGGCAGAGAGCCCCCTATAGCACCCTGAGATCCAACTATCTCACCCTGAGCTGTTGGAGAAAGAGTGGTATTAAAACAAAATCGTTGTTCTAAAACCATGATCTAGAATATCCTTTAAGAGAGAAAAAGACCCATCCTAGAAACGTCTATTAAAATACAGATATTCACGTGTAAGTTTCTTTCCTAGAGGAGACCACCGCTACGCCATGGTCCAGCAGAGGGCGCTTTTAGGAGGTATTTAAAGAGAAACCTTTCTTTAAATAAATGTTTAAAAAAGCACGACGCGAGGCTGATCCAGCCAGTCGGTGCAGACTGTGGCCTTTGCAAATACAGTTTTTAATAATACAGATATAGCTCTTTGCTGTCTCTCTCTTCCAGCAACAGCGAGTTTCTTGTTTGCCTTTCTTTCTTTTTTTACGGGCTCAAACTTGCTGAATTCACCTTATTTTTATGATTTCTCTGAGCTTTCTCTGTTTTTTTAATGGCTACCTTTTGACCTGAGAGCTTCACCATCTGGAATAGGAGAAACCTGACACAGTATTTTTTTTTCTTCCTGCGTAAAACATATATACCCATGAACGGGATCCACTATTTAAAACTCCACTCATTTACTAAAAATCGACCTCAGATGCCATCGGATCAGTAATTTTACAACATCGAGGAAGCCAGTTCCTAGAGCCGGGTAGTGGGGGGGGGGAGCGACTCTTCCAAGTAACGCTGGGTTATTCTAAGTTTTATCGCCCTCCTGGGCTAAAAGTATCTCTTTCCACACACCCTACAGCTTCGCCGGGGCTTCAACACTCTCCCTTCCTGTGTGTGGTGTGAATATATATATATATGGAAGAAGCGATTAATTACATCGAAAGCAATACTCAAGCGGAATGTCTTTTTATCCACGCAATTTATGTAACGCTCTTTAATCATTGCCAACCCAGGGCGAAGGGACAGGGGTAAATGTAGCGCGGGGTGATTCAAATTAAGCCGGATTTATTTATTGCGGGGGAGGGGGCCAAACAAGCAAGCAACAAAAGGTTTCCTCTAACAAGGTTCCGATTAAAACATGAAAAACCAACTTCGTGCACTTCACCGTCACCCATCTCCCTTTGATTTAGCTTGAAACTGAAAGAAGTACCGGCAATCACTGAACGAAAGAAAAATGCGTGTATGTGCATGGGTGGGGGCGAGACCAAAATTCTTTCCCTTGACATAAAGACACACACCGCGATGTGTTTTCATTATTATTTACCTGCATGCATAATGTCCTCGTTTTATTTTGGGCTTTTTAACCCATCTGAGGAAAAACAAAAAACCAAACTACCCCGTCTTGGTGCTCTCTCCAAAGCCTGAACAAGCAAAACAAAAAGCACAACTGCGCTTTTAGGGAATTAAAATGAAAGGGGAGATCTAAATGCTGAGGCGTGAGGAATTTAAATGCACAGTTTTGTTTAAGAGGCAGACACGCGTTATACGGAGGTAGACGCCGGCGCTTCAGGCAACCCCTTGTCAATGTCATTGTTCTAACCCGGCACCGAAGAGACTTTTGCCACCAGCCCCAGCCCCACCGCCACCGCGAGACTCGAAGAGGGACGTGTTCGCTGCCTTGCACGATCCCCGCACCGTCTCGACGACCAGAGCAGAGAAATGTTTAAAAGGCAATCTCAAAAAGGGGGCGGGGAATGGAGAACAAACAACGTTAAACCTAAAGCTGCGGTCTAATATATACATATCACATCTAGATATATTCTCACACACACAAAGGAGTGCTGTGTTAGATCTCCAACTCCCTTATTTCAAAGCGATCTCGTCCAGCACTCCTCTATAATTGGGGGGGGGGGGCAAATCGATGGTCATCATTTCTTCTCCCCCTCCCCTCCCTTCTTTTGCTTGCTTTAAAAAAAAAAAAAAAGCCTCCCCCTGATGGGAAGCTGAGTATGGGAGAGACGCCTCTGAGCAGGAAGAGAAATAAAATCCAGAAAGCTGCCCTTACCTTCGTACATTGGGGCCATCGGTGCAAGGATGTCTTGTTATTCATGGCAACGAAAGAAAAACGAAGCAGGATTTCAGGTCCCCCCCCCCCCCTTAAACTCAATAGAAATCTGCCATCTTGAGCCTGTGTCTCTCCGTACAGCCGAAGCGGCCAAAAGCTACCCGCATCTCCCTTCAATTCATCGAGGAGGGAGGCAGCGGGGGGAAATACACATAGAGACCTCCATAAAGCAGAAACGGCGGCGGCGGCGGCGGCGGCGGCAGGAGGCAGAAAATCAAAAATAGAAGATGGGGAGGGGGAAGGAAAGGGGAAGGGGGGCGTGCGTCGATGCACAGTGTCCAGGTCAAGTGGGGAGGGGGCTGTGGGTGGCTGGAGCTCCCCCCAGACTTGGGGTTTTGGGGGGCGGGGAGGGGGGACTCGAGCGATCCCCCGAAGCTCTCAGCTCAACATGTCTGTCTGTCTGCGCGCGTCGGGGGAGATTTCTGCAAAAGTTGCATTAGAGAGGAGAGGAAGAGACAAGACTGCGCGAGCCAGAGAAAACAGAAAAGAGGGGAGGAGAAAAGAAGGAGAGGAGGAAAGGAGAGAGAGAGAGAGAGAGAGGGAAAAAAAAACCTCAGGGAGTTTGCAAATAATCAAATACCGATGGCACGGATCGCAGTTTCCCAGAAGGAGGGGGGAATGGAGCGAGGAGCAAAAGCAAAGCAAAACAAAAACCACAAAAAAACACAAACACCCTGAGCCATCACCCTCTGCTGATATTATGCAGGATTGTGTTTAACAACACATTTCAATCAGGAAGGGGAGGAGATACGCGGGTGTGGGGGGGGGGGAGGCAGGGAGAAATTAGCAACGGAATAGGGAGCAGAAGTTGGCGAAGCGGGTTCTTTCCCTCCTTCACTACTTTAGTAATCGATAGATAAATCATGTTTCTTTCAGGTCAGCTTTTCAGACTGTAAGCTCCTTGGGGCACAGACCCACCTCCTTGCTTCGTAAAGTGGTGTGTGTATTGATAATACGCGCAATATCTGCAGAACAGATTTTAAAAGGTAGCAATAAAGCCTAGTGGTGAAAATTTGAATACCAAGTTTTGTTTATTCATTTAAAAGTATTGATATATTGCCTTTCATCCTTTAATGTTTCAGGGCATTTTTCAACAGCTTAAAAGAACAGCATAAAGTACAAAGTTTTGTAATAAAATAAGACAGCATCCTTCCCTTTTCAAATAAATATGTTATCCTGTTTGCATTTTTTACAGCCTTGTTTCACTGACAAAAAGTTGTAGTTTCATTTCTTGTTTAGTATTTATTTTAATGTAGTTTGCTATAAACAGTGCAAGTATTTATGGGATGCATTTTGAGATAAACATACACTGTTGCTTTCAGGATTTTTTCCCCCTTGAAAAAAGCCACATCAAAAGAGTGTTTATGTATTGAGTATGACAGCCAAGGAGCCCCCTCCTGTGTTCATTTTAAGCGATCCATCCCTTTTGCTCTGCTTCTGCCCTGGTACTGCCAACTCTCTTCTTCTAAGATGTCTTCAGGACATCTCCCTGGGGCTGTTGGCAAAACCTTTTCTCTTCTACTTGCTTTCTTTAGAACTTAATCTTACAGAGGTCTCCCAAGTGCAGTGAGTTTTTCATAGTATACAAACTGGCCCCAGGTTGACCTCAGCCAAAGCATTCCAGGGTGCTCTTAGAAAGAGTAAACCAATCAAATCAGCTGTTATACAAGCCCCCATTTACACAACCACATAGGACTGACTGCAGAAGAATCCCACTCATGAAATTCTTCTCCATTGGTGATGTATATATAATATCTTTCCAGGTAAATAAGTTGACAAAGCTAGGTATTAACTTTAAATATTATATGTTTTAAAAATTTTATATTAATTTTTTTAAAAAATATTTTTAATGTATTATATTTTAATTGATGTTTTGTGAGCCGCCCTGAGGCTTCGGCGAATGGGGCAGCATAGAAATTTTAAAAATAAATAAATAAATAAATAAATATAATAATGTACGGTACTATCATCTGAAAGAAATACATCCAAAATCTCTTATCACCATTATGTTTTTATTAGGTCAACTCAAGCATCACACAAGCTTTTGCAAAAGCTTGTATACAAGCTTTTGAGCTCTCTGGCATTCTTTATCAGGCAACATAGTAAAGGGAAAGGAGAGTAAAACTGGTTGATGCTGACACCATAGGCCACGTCTGCATGATCTCCCGGGAGTGAAGAAGCCATGGGGACTTCTTCTCCCACTCCTGCACAAACTGATCACATGCTGTACAATTTGCCTAATGACCTTCATGGTACACAGGTCACTGTGCTATTATGATTATAATTGTTATTTATATCCTACCTATTCCAAGTGATTGGGACTCAAGGCAGGTTAGAACATTAAAATTCATACAATTAAAACATTCAAAAATCTAAAAAGTTAAAAATATAATTATATCAATTAGATATGAAAACAGGATAGTTACCCAGAATAAAAACATTAACCAACAATATGAATAATAAAACTAATCCAGTTCTAGCAGGCCATTCCCAAATGCCTGCTAGAAAAAGGTTTTATCTGCTTTCGGAAGCCCAACAGGGAAGGCACTTACACTTCCCTCCTTAGAAAGGGAACTCCAGGGCCTTGGGGCAGCCACTGAGAAGGACCACTTCTGTATTCCCATCAATTGTGCCTATGAAGGTGCTAGGCCCAAGAGAAAGACTTCCCCTGAAGAACTTAAGAGCCCAAGGATGCTCATAAGGGAGAATATGGTCCTTTAGATAGCCTGGAGCTGAACCAAATAAAGCTTTATATGTCAAAACCAACACTTGGAATTATACCCAGAAACAGACTGGGAGCCAGTGAAGCTGTTTCTGCAAAGACCTTGTAGGCTCCCTGTAACCAGCCCCAGTGACATCTGAACCCCGTGAGGTGTGTAGTGGGGAGTGGCTTCCACTCCATGCCACAACCTTACAACAAGCCATGGATTCTGGCCTGGTTTGAAAACCACTTCTACCACTACATATCTCATGGGTTTGGGTGATACTGCAGCTCACACATCATGAAGGTAAGTATGGAAATCACACAGAGCACAACTGCACAGGCAGGAATAAGGAAATGCAGCCACCTTGGCTTTTTCCCCCAGTGATCATGTGAGGCCAGCCATAGGGTCTGCATTTGGTTACAGTCTTAAGACAGAAAGTGGGAAGGCTCTGCAAGTGTTCCAGTCTGGCTCTAAAAGATACAGAGATGGTTTCAACTAATTGACCCAAGGATTCTTGGGAAAAAGAAAGAAACAGTACCTCTGATTTTTTTTAAAAGCACATAAAATCCAGCCGCTACTTGCTGTTAACTCCATCTTTAGGTGAAACACAGGTGGTACAAAAGAGAAGTAGAAAAAAATTGAACAGTTTTTATATTGCCAAAGCTGGAGATTAGTTTGTTTGTTTATTTATTTACTGCTTTTATGTGCCATTCACAAAGCTTTCGGAATGGTTTGCATCATTTTAGATGATGTATTGAAAATAAAATCAACAAATGAAGCTAAATTGGGTAGCATTATCTAGTAACTGCAGAGGGATGCATCTCCAGAGAACAAAGAGCCTAGTTTAGGTGGTATATTGCTGTTATTGCTGCTGATCACATGGCTGCAACTCAATTACATACCTTTTAATAACTTAATCACAAGAGTTGCACTGGACTGATCTGTTGATCAAATTTGCATATGTGTAAAAAAAATTCCAATGTGAATAGCCAACTTTCTTTGAGATGGTACACACATATGGCAATATCAGGCCTAATCTTAGAGGAAGCATTTCCACCTGTGAGAAAGCGAACAAATAATGCCTCTATTAAGACAGACTTTGCTGTCTGCAGTTTTTACACACATTTGTATTTTTTCTAGTCAAAAGATCTATTCCCTGGTTGCTTTGGAGCACTCTTAATCAAACCTGCAATCCTGTGCAGGCTTGCCTTATTTTTGCGCAAATTTACAGAGGACCACATTGTAAAGGTGTTTTAATCAATTAACTCAACCAGTTAATTGATAAAAAGGTGCTGCCAATAATAATAATAATACCACTGTAGCAAGGCAAGAAAAAATAATTCCTGACTGCACATCTACAGTATACTAGAAATAATAAAAAGAGATGGTGAAGAAATAGGGAAACATACATATTCAGGCAGAAATTCTTCATAATTTATATAGTTCATAATAAGATTTTAAATGAGAGAAGATGTTTAAAGGCAAACCTTCTTCCAGAAGGGTGCTACCTAGCTACCAAGACAAGGTTGCTCCTGATACATCCCTCCCTAGGGGCCTGGGCATCTCGTCACCCTAGTTGGCCTAGAAGCAGCTTCAGTAATTGTATTAATAATGCAGTTCTTTAGAGCACAATTCAATGAGGCTGCCCATAACCCTGCAGACTCAGAGGATCCTGGGCATCCTATGCATGGTGGGAAGAATATGCAAAAAAGGGGTCACTTTTGTGCTGCTCTTGCAATGCAAAACAGATGGACAGCTGATGTTAGCTAAGGGCTTGGCATCTTAGTGGAGTGGGTGGGAAGGAAGATGAGGTTCTGTCAGGATATTTTGTAAGGTGATAGAGCCTGTTTACTCCCCTCCCTGCCCCCTGCCACCCCCCATCTCTAAACCCCCCATCTCCAAGACTTTGTGAGGACAGAGGGAGGGGATTCCAAGTCAAAATGCCCACTCCAATGCTGAAGCAAGTTTCCAAGGCTGAGTTCAGTTAAGGTCATAGGACATGGGATATAGGCCAGCTAGACTCTTTCTAGTGGCCATAGGACTGTGCTGCCCAGGTCCTTCAACTATATTACCTCACTAGCCCATACAAAAATCCTGCAAAACGGGCCAGCATTAAAATCCCTACAGCACAGATGGGTTGCTGGGGCAGAAAGAGCATGACTTGACTTCCCCTTAGGCCACCAAATGAGTTCATGATTTGATTTGTACAGTCTAAGTAATGGAGGCATTGCATTTGGTAGTTCTACCCCTACTTCACAGGCAAGACATCAGATGGGGTGCCTTTGTTTCCATACAATTAATCCTGCTGGATTCCACAGGTACAATGTTGTCTCCTGTGCTGCACCTGCTTCCTGCCCACCCCATAACATCCACCACTGTTGTCTCTTGTGATGTTTGTATGAGCCAACCAAAGGCTCTCTAGATATTTTGGGTTCCATTTCCCAGCATCCCCAATCATTGGTCATGCTGGCTGGGAGGGGTTGGGAGTTGGAGCC